TATATATGTGCGTTACGTATAAAATTATAAAATATTTTCCACCTGGCGTAATCATTCGACACAATTACATACTGTGAGAAAGATAACGAACGTTAATTAATACATTTGTATTTATACTTATTATATTATATAAGATATTGGTTATCATTGAAAACCGTTTGAATTAATAAACAGTTAATATTTATTTTATATTTATATGCATGTTTTTCAGAACAAATATGGAAAATATAGCAAAGAGATTTATCTAATTCTTTTTTTTTTATATTTAACGAACAAATAGAAACGATCTAAAATTTCCAATGATCAAGTAATTATCATTGCAACTGCAATATATCCGAGTTGTAATTATCGTACGTCGGAATATAAACTAGTTCGTTGAGAAAATATTTGTACATTTTTACAGTGTCGCCCCTTACGCGATACGATTGTCTTACAAGTATAGAACGAAACTTGTCAAAGGCAATGATTGGTCATTCCTGTCGATCTATTGGCGCGAAGGTCGCCGATGATCGTAGAGTCATACCTGGAATGGGACATGGGACATACCTTGAAGACTACCATAGTAAGAATTGCATAGTTCAAGGCTAAAGCTATCCGTGTCCTGAATAAACGAGATTAATTAATTCTTTTGCTACCCCCAAAGGGTAAAATTATAACACAAGCACACAATTGATTAAAATCTACGAGCTGTTTTTATGAAAATTTTGTCGCCGCGATCGCGTCGACTTGACAGCAGCTTTTCTAATGAATTTAAAATTGTATTTTTGAACGACAAATCATTTATCTTTTTTTTTTTTATAGCTGTTCACGTATCGAACGTACTATTGGTGCAAACGATCAATTTTTTTTACTAGCTAGTACCGCCTACTGATGTAATTTAAATTACGCGGAGGTGCGGCAAGAATTACGAAGCATCATCATGGGCGTGTATTCGTGCGATCGCACGAGTACCGCATACGTCCTTTGATCGCGACATTCGATAAGCAAAACTATCGATAGACGATCGACAGTGAAATATAACAGCCTCTTGACCGTTCCTTGTATCCTTTCGAACCGGATGCGGCAACGCATACTGAACGAATATGTTCTGGGAAGGCAGTTTCCGCATTCACGGTAGTGAACGGAAAGGTTTTGCATGCTTTAGAACCGATCACTTTGTTACAGAACACCGAAGAATTGCTCAATGGGAGTCTTGCGAAGATTTGTTAGAAAAAACTGTCCTTGAAACATAGGATAAATCGTATAACTGAATCTAATCGAAAAATATTTCCGTTAGTGCAGCGATGCTAATTTTTGTTGTCTATTTCTATATTGGAAGGCGGCAGATCGTATGCTAATAAATTCTTGCATTTTGCACATCTTATATATATTACATTCTTATGCGACCGGGATATATTTTTGCAACAATATCCTGAGCGTACTTGTTATTAGAATGGCACGAAACTCAATCGTCATTTGTTGATATCGAATATCTATATCAAATATCCTGATATAAAATCTTTGAATTACCTGCACAAATTATCTATTAAATTTGCAATATATTACTCATACAATTAAAATGAAGAAATTAATATTTTACTGTGTGTTGAGAAGAACATTATTTGAGTTCCATATAAAATTATTAATAAAAAGAAAAAAATTGACGTGAAGAATCAGTCATTAAAATTATGAACTTGATTTTTTATTCGTTTCGATTAAATTAAATTGCTGATCGACAAAAATAAGTACGTGGTTCTGCAACGTATTAATTGATTTTAATTTTAATCAGGCTGCGGCTGACGATTGGAAAGTTTGAATTTTTTGTATTAACTTGCGCAAATGCGCGATTTATTGACGCATCTTCAGCGTTCGATGAAGAACAGTTCCGTCATAACCAGAGTCCGTCAGAAACTTTTTGCATAATCGAACTATATGTTTGATAAACAGTTTGAGAGGCCTGTTAGAGGCGGTGCCGCGGCCTTGAGCGAACAGTCAATAGGATCGCCGTATTCTTGTCGTCATTTACTATCGAATGTGCACACTATTCATTACGCGGGCAAACACTTCAGCAAAAGTGAGATACTTTCAGATACACAAAAGTGCACAAACATAATCTTCACGTATCATTTATAAAATAAAAGTATGCATTTCCTCTAAGATGTGAACGAGAAAAATTAAACACATCACAGAATCTGATCCCATTTTTTTTTTCTTATATGGAAGCTCAATTCTTCTATTCTTTTTTTGAAATTATTATCTACGTTTATTCAAAAAGATAAAATAAACTCAATTTATTAAAGAAAAATAAATGATTTGGAGATTGTATTTCTTTTAATAATTTGCAAGCTGCTATTTATTTAAAAATTAAAGTTGTATTAAACAACATGTTGATGGATAAGTTGTCCTCGACGTAACAATGTAACACAATCCTTTGTGGAGCTTAATTGTTATCGCCTTGGACAATCGCGGAACGTATGCCATATAACGAATTAATTAATTTAACAATCCAACTCAACCGTGAGATTATTATTATCTTATTTTTGAGATTGTTAATGAATCTATTAATTTTAATAATCTTTAAATTTGAGCATTGCGGTAGCTCAAGAATTAATTTACGTCAATGTTTGTTTATCAAGGCATTTAGGTTTACGGAATCTCGTTAGAATTATTTTGCGAGTTAATATTGATATCAGATTGCTCGCATGTTGCGAGAATTAAAGTGTTTACTTAGGCAGACAGATACGACAATGTAAACGCGCGTATACGCGAACGTTCGAGTAGACATAGTGAGAATCTACTATATGCGCTTGGCAATCAGTCTATTTTCAAAACCAATTGTTCTTGCCTGGCCAGCCGTAAAAGGTCGTTAATAAAAAAAATCGATTTTTGTTATTTCATTGCTTCTTTAGAAATAAATTTACGCCGTAAAAAAACCTCGATAAAAAAATTCAATTTTTGTTATTGCGTAGCTCATTAATTCCTTTCAAATTTTAAATGGACTTAGACAATTTCTAACGTTGAAAGTAATGCTCGGTTTTGCAATATATAACTTTACTCTACGCGGTGTTATCTTTCACGTTTATTTTTTTTCGGTAAATGATCGATTCTGTTTTAAAAATACACATACAAAGTACCGTTTCTTCTCTTTCTGCATGCATCAAGGATAATTAGAGATCAGTCTTAGTGCATTGCGTTTTTGCAGCGTTTCTTGCAAGAATAGTTGTGAAACGAGAAAAAAAAACTTCTTCGAAATTTATGAAAGAAACATAACTATGATTGACTGCGACTAGAAGTCATTGATCTTTGAGCGGGAACAATCGCGAGTGATACAAGTGAAAATTTGTCCGAATGAGCTGTCGGCGATTAGCACCATTATTTGCATTGTCGCGTATCACGCGATGTCTGCACACGCGCGAGCATTGCGTTAGAACAGAGCATGCGGTACCCACTTGGCTGCACCTGCGAGAAGCCTCGCGCGGACCTCGTTCCGCTTCTGTTACTCCGCGTGCGCACCGTTTTATCCGCGCGTTATCACGCGGCTATATACGCGCGTGGACACAAAAATGCGGATGCGGATGCAACAGTGATCCTGGCTGCCCTGGTGTAGACGAGTCTCATTCCCCCGCGATACCGAAAACGTCTGGCATAATCGAGACACGCGCTGAGAACGGCGGACGAGATGGTACTTGCACACGTCTTCCGTCGACGGTGCATCACACGTATTTTTATCGAACATTATTAGCGACGTGCGCGCGGTCATGCAGTTATTGCACTTTGTTTAGTGATGTGTGTCCGGATATTATATGCCGAGATAAGTTACTTTCGTTCGATGAAACATCAATTCGCATTAACTATTTGTGTGACGCGAAGTCTCTCGTTGCATAATCGCGTCAACGGTCAGCGATATAGCACGTCCCGCATTTACCGAGCCAACTTTTGCCCACGAACTCTTCGACCGACCATTGTTTTCTAACAAAGATTTAATAAAACCTTGTCTGTTTCGCACTTGCTTAATCT